TCTCTCTCTCTCTCTCTCTCTCTCACACACACACACACACACACACACATAGACAAACCCCTACCTTTGACTTCCCACCCTCCACCCTCCACCCTCTAGCCCTTTGCCAGCTCATCTCGCACTCCTGTCAAATGCTTCACCACCGCCGCCGCCGCTCATTTTGAAACAGACTCCTGTGTCTAGCTTTACACGTGTTTGACGATCCCGCCATCAATCCGTTGCGCAGAGCCGTTGATTGACTTGGCCTGATCGGACGCTAGAAAGAGGACGAAAGCCGCCACCTCCTCCGGATTAATGTACCTGTCGATCACCGACCCAGGCTCGACATCCTTAAAGAAGGTCTCAGCTAGGACCTCGGATGCAACCCCTCTCTGCTCCGCGATCTTGATCAGCGTGTCTTCCATCCCTCTTGTGAAGGTGGGCCCCACCACCAAAGAATTCACGGTCACTTTCGACCCCTTTGTAAGTTCTGAGAGCCCTTTAACGAACGCCAACTGCGCCGCCTTCATTACACTATGGGTCATGAAGCTCGGATTGGGTCGAAGAGCAAGATCGGAGGAAATCATTATAATCCTTCCCTCTCCTTTTGATAACATGCCGTTCAGGACCCCGCGAGATAATCGGACCCCGCTCATCAAATTAGCATCGAACGATTTCTGCCAATCGTAGTCCGTGAAGTCGAAGTAATCCTTGAAATCGTCCAATCCAACACAATTAACAAGGATGTGAACAGGTTGCCCAAGGGCAGAGACGCAAGATAACAGGTGCTCGGCACCAACTTTGGTGCTCACATCAGCAGTAAATCCGATGAAATCAACTCCAGAATGATCGTACTTAGACTTAAGTTCCCCTACCACCTTCCGCACTGTAGACTCTGTCCTCCCATTCACGACAACCGTCGCGCCTGCCTTAGCCAGCGCCTCCGCTATCGCCCTTCCTATCCCTGACGTGCTTCCCGTCACGACCGCTACTTTGCCTCCAAACCAGATATCCATCTCTTCTTCTTCTTCTTCTTCTTCTTCTTCCTCTCTCTCTCTCTCTCTCTCTCTCTCTCTCTCTCTCTCTCTCTCTCTCTCTCTCTCTCTCTCTCTCTCTCTC